TTTCCCTTCTGGCACAAACACTCCATGCTTCTGGTTTTGAGCTGTTTATCCACTCAAAACACAGGGTACAACCTGATCCAAGCAGAAGTGGATCTCCGATAAGTTCTCCTACCAGCCAGGATGGCCTGGGCTATGCCACAGTAACAAATGAATCCCCAAATCTCAGGGGCTTAACACACCGGAGGAGATTGCTATGATTACAAGGGGCTTTGCAACCTGGGAAAGGGAGGGCTTTTCCACCCACGGCCCTTGGTACTGTGTTTGGTGTCATAAGGAAACAGGGTTGCCTTGAACTCCACTGAAGGAACATCATGTCAGAAAGGCTGAGGAAGAAAGTAGCTGGTGCACCAAAGAAGTCAGGGGCAAATAGCTGCAAGAAGAGGGGTTCACCACGCTGATGATGCTCCGATCATTTATTCAGCCATTCATTCAAGAAGTACTTTTTGAGCACCCAGTAAGTGCCAGGTACTGTGCTAGACACTAGGCGTATGATTGTAAACGGGTGGAAAATGGCTGTGTCCTCTTTGAGTTTATATATTCTAAAGAAGAAGAAAGAAAAGAAATGGGCTAATAAATAATTAAGCAAAATGCCTTCTGATGGTGTGCTCAGTGCTATAATGACATTAATCAGAGTGGTGCAGTAGAATGACAGGTGTGTGAGTGAGGGGTATTGTAGCTGCGAAGCCCCTGAGATGACAGTTAAGCTGAACTCTGAATGACAGGAAGGGGGAAAAGCAAGTTGGCGGAGGGAACAGCCAGGCACAGGCTGAAGCAGGAACGGCATAGCTGGAGGGCTGCAGGAGCCCAGGTCGGAGAAGCAGATGGTCTTTAAGCCACAGCGAGGAATCTGCATTTGATTCTAGGTACGATGGTTGGCAGGGAGGGTGAAGTGACTCGCTTAAAGCAAGAGAGTGACATGATCTGATTTGATTTTACGTTCTTTTCAAAAGATCACTTTGGCTGCTGTGTGGATTGTAGGATTGTCAGGGGAGCAAAGTAATAACAGAGCAAATACAATACCTAGTTCGGGGGGAATGAAAGCGCCAGCAGAGAGCCTTGGCTTTAGTCACGATTGCAGATGGCAGATACTGCTGGAACCATGGAGAGGATCTCATGGCCAAGGCAGGGAAAGTGTTTGTCTGTGAATTCCTGGGGGAGAGTCCTCCAGAGATCCTTGCATGGGTCAGAATGGGGTAGGCTACACCCTAGCAGCAAATTCAACCCTAAGCCTGGCCCAGCGTGGTGGCTCACACCTATAATCCTAGCACTCTGGGAGACCGAGGCGGGAGGATGGCTTGAGGTCAGGAGTTTGAGACCAGCCTCAGCAAGCGCAAGACCCTGTCTCTACTAAAAATAGAAACAATTAGCTGGGCATGGTGGTGCACACCTGTAGTCCCAGCATTCAGGAGACTGAGACAGGAGGATTGCTTGAGCCCAGGAGTTTGAGGTTGCTGTGAGCTAGGTTGACACCACGGCACTCTAGCCTGGACAGCAGAGAAAGACTATCTCAATAAATAAATAAACCCTAAGTCCCTGTGGCTTAAAAAACAAAGATTTAACTCTTGCTCACACTGCATGTTCACTGCGAGTTGACCTCGAGTCTCTGCTCCTCACAGTCACACAGGGACCCAGGCTGACAGAGCTCCACCCTCAATGGCTTTGACCTCTTGGTCACTGGGGCAGGGGAAGAGCATGCCAGGGACCTGAAATCAGAAGTGACAAGAGACCAGAGAGTTGCCCAAAGAAGAAGTAGAGCTGCTTTTCTGCTGGAATATACAAAGTGACTTGGGACCAAAAAACACTTGTTTTAGGGTGAATGTGGATCTGTCCGGGGCACATGAAGAGGAGTTTATATTCCCATCCAGAATTGGGGGTCTTTCAGGATAGTGTCCCCAAATGCCAGGAAAGTGGGCTTACCTCCATCCTGCCTTCTCTTGGCTTCTGTTTTCCTGCCTCTTTCTGAGGTCCATGGAGGTACATGGATATCCTGGAGAGTTTTGTAAGCCTTTTTACATTGCTATGTGATCTTTCTATTCAACATTTGTTATGCATGTGTAGTTTTGCTTTCTCTAATAGCATCATTTTTAATAATAATCATAGCTACACTTTTATAAGCACCTTCTAAGTATTTCACCTATCATAGCTAATTTTATTTATTTATTTATGACAGTCTCACTCTGTTGCCCGGGCTAGAGTGCAGTGGCATCATCATATTTCACAGCAACCTCAAACTCCTGGGCTCCAGCAATCCTCCTGCCTCAGCCTCCCAAGTAGCTGGGACTACGGATGTGTACCACAATGCCAGGATAATTTTTTTTTGTTTTTAGTAAAGATGGGGTCTCACTCTTGCTCAGGCTGGCCTTGAGCTGCTAAGCTCAAATAATCCTCCTGCCTTAGCCTCCCAGAAGGCCAGGATTACAGGCATGAGCCACTGCACCTGGCTTTGCCATAGCTAATTTAATCCTCACCATAATCCTATACAGTAGATATTATTATCATTTTACATATGGGGAAACTGAGGCACAGAGTGATTAAATAACGTTCATAGAGCGTAACAGCTAAAAGCGGAAGAGCTGGGTTTCACACCAGGTGCCCCTGCTCTCACACTCCAGACTCTGCAGCTGTTGACATGCAGTTTGCCCCATGCCGTGGGCTGAGATCCATGCTGGCTGTGAACAGCAGCCATCCCCAACAGGGGCTGGAAGAGAACAGCAGATCCTCTTAGGCCACATTCTTGAACTGGTGACTTGTGACTTCATAGGAGGATGAGCCTTCCCCAAACATACACAGGTCGAAACCGGCCAGAACACGGTGTGTAAACAGCAGCCTCTGAGTGCTTGAGAACAGCCAATGGTGGATTAAGCTGAGACAACCAAAGCAAACAGTTTGGAAGCTGTTTCCCCTTCTCACTTTTTCTGCTTCATATTGGTTTGGCTTATTTTGTCTTCAACAAATATTTTTGAACATCTCCTACGAAGACGACACTCTGCTAAGGCTATTAAGGAAAAGACAGAAAGGGTATTAGGAGTGAAACCCAAGCAAGATCTCTTCCCTTAAGTCAGGGAAACCCAAAAGGATCGTGTGACAAGTTCAGTCGTTCGGGCATTTGAAAAGAAGAGACAGTAGTGCCGTGCCAGACGAGGTCATGTGGTTAATTGCTAAGTAAGTGTCCAGGACAATGGCAGCTGTTGGAGGACGAGGGTGCAAGCGGAAGGGGGTGTCGCCGAGCCGGATGAGCAGGGAAGATTTCAGCAGGGGGAGGAACATGAACCGGGTTTGGAAGGAGGTGGCAAGGGCCGCCCTAAGCCGCTGCTGGAGGTGGCTGCCCCGGGGCACCGAGGCCAGGAGGGCTGTGTCGGCTGTGCGGGGTGGAGGTGACTGGATGAAGGAGGACGTTCACACAGGCGGGGCAGGCACCCCTCAGCAGATCCTGCCTTCAGGGAAGCTCCCACCCTGGGCTTCTCAGGACAGCAAGTTTAGAAAGAAGACTTAGGAGCGGACAGGAGACAGGAAAGCCAGTTAGCGGGTGGGTCTGTGGGGCCACAGGCTCTGTGAGCCCATGTCTGTCAACCTTCCCTGCTGCCTGCAGCAAAGCCACACTTGGGTCCTCAGCTGCCTGAGCATCTGCAGAGCCCCTGGAGGAATTGTTATTAACTCTCCATTACCTACAGCCTTGGGGCTGCCACCTTCTACTCTTTAAAAATGTGCTTCTATCACACACACATACGCACACACGCACATCAAACAAGCCAACAACAAAAAACCTACACATTTCCCTATTGCATGAGTCAGAACCCACAACCTCTAACTGATTTTCAGGAGAAAATAAATATATCAAGCGTTACTGGATCTCTCGTAGATCTGAAGAGAAGGCCAGAGAGCTGGTCCTCTCTGCTGCCAGGAATAACACCAAGTCAGATGACTGTCCCACTTGTGGATATGTCCCGGGCACAGGCACGGAAGCTTGCTTTGTGGACCCAGAGCGTGGAATCCCATCCCAGGCCCTGTCAATGCTGCCTCTGAAAGCTCAATGTCCCCCCACCACCCTCCACCCCCTTGCCAGCAGCTGATCCACAGCTCCCCAGCTGTGCTTTCTTTCTCTACTATTGTCTTCTGACCTGAAGACTCTCATAGATGCAGCTGATTAGAGGAGCCCAGGTCACATGGCTACCTGGTAGCTGCAAGGGAGGCTGGGAAAGTGAGTTCTGACTCCTATCTTGGGAGGGTGGAATTCATAATGGGGGTACCTACCAGCGTAGTCATACATCCTAGTGTCTTAGGACAGTCCCAGGGTTTGCTTGTGGTCCCAATATCATGATTAATAGCACCCTTTTACTCTCGAAAGTGTTTTGGTTTAGATCATAAATTATATAGACACCCTAATAATTCTCAAAAATAATTTTTGGATTCAATCATCACGAACTCCCAGTTTTCCCTCCTTTTCCTGTCTTCTCCTCTCACCCCTCCCAAGAAGCCTGCACTGAATTTGCCAAACCCTTCTCTTATTGCAGAGCAAAAGGAGGGTATTCTGCATGTGCTTGGGGAAAGCCCACAACAGATGTGACACCAGAGCATCACCTCTTCCTGCTAGAAGAGGAAGAACTTATCTATGTGAGATGAACGATCCAAATGAAAATTCAAAAGGGCAAAGAGAAAGATGAGCGCGAAGACCAGTCAGCTGGTTTGGATGGAGATCCAGGTCAAAGCCAGCTCGTGCAGCGTGAGCTGAAAAGACGTGAATGTCAAGAAAAAGACTTTGGACTTTATCTCTGGGAAATAGACACATGGAAGGTCTCTGAACAGGGGAAGAACCTGAACCAGGTCAGTGTACCTGGAAGAGCAGGGGCCAGACAGACCTGAGTTAGGAATAGATGGAAAATTACTTAACCTCTCTGGAACTCAGATTTCTCACCTATAAGATGGGAAAACTGAAAGCCTCCTCTTGAGATTGTTATAGAATGAATTAAAAGGTAAAGTTCTTGGCACAGTATACAAACCCACGGGAGGTACTTGATACATGATGATTGTCAAGACAGTATTTGGGGAGCATCATACAGCAAATGTGTGCAGACAGCAGGAAAAGGGGACAGGCTGGAGGCAGGGAGGCCAGTGAAGAGGCAGCTGTGCGGGAGAGACCAGGATGTGGAGGGAAGATGTGCTGCTGGGAACTCAGAGAGATGGCAGAGTCAGCTGGCAGCCACCCTTCCCACCTGGGTGACCGGCAGGCCAGTGGTGACAACCCCAAAGTGCAGCATGATGGCAGACGGCTGGATTAGAGAAACCTGTACGGAAGAGAAAAAGGAGGAGTTCGATTTGGGACATACAAGATTTACAGGTCCCAGCTGTCATCCAGGACAATTCTCCGACAGAAAAGCTGAAGCTAAAAAATTGTCTGCCTGGCCCCAGATCTTAAAAGCTCAAAGAGAAAATGTGATGGATAATAACAGGGTGTGCATTGTCACGTGCTGGGGACCAAGGCACAGAGCCTCTGTCATTGGTGGGGATAGGAAAGGCTAAACACACATCTGGATGGCAGAGGCCTGTTGGGGTCTGAAAGGGCAGGAAAGGACATTCTCAGCATTTAAGGAGGGTGTCTGGGAGGCCTGCTTGGTTTGCACACGTGAAGAGGGGACATCATGAAACATCCAGCACCTCACAGAACAAAAGCTCAGAAGAGCAGCTAAACCTGGGTTTCCTCTGTTCACCCCCCAGGGCTGTGCAGTCTTTCTCCTTTCTCTTTTCTATCTCTCTCACCTCACCTCCACCCCCATTCTTGCATGTTCTCCCTCTCTCCTGGCCATCTTTTTCCTTATGTTACCCCATGCCTGGTTCACTATGGTGGCTCTGCCCTGGTCCCACCTGGCTTTTCGGCTGGAGAGCCTACCACCAACCAGGAGGCCAGTTTCTGTGTCTCCTAGAGCAAGTTCCCAACATCTAATAAAACTGGGATCTCTAGGAAAGGTGGTCATGGGGCATCTAGTGCAAGAGGTCATCAAGCTTTTAGTGCATCTTTAGTGCTTAGGGATGGAGCCAACATTGGTCTGGCCTTTGTAGGGCAAGAAGGCTGCATGGTGCTGGAAACGGTAGTCTGCAAATCCAGGCTGCTCCCAAGGCCCTGGTCAGAGCCTCTGTCTGTATCTACAGCAAGCCTGAAGGTGCAGAGATAAGGACTTGGGAGGCACACTGAGGGATCCGTCATGAGGATGGAGCATTGACTGCTTGGGTGTTGGGGGATCAAGAGATGAGTCTGCAGGGATGAGAAGGAACCACCCTCTGCAGGATCCTAGTAAGTCCTGCCAAGGAGGTGGAACTTCATCCTGAGGGCAGCAGGGAAGCCATGCAGTCTTTTGAAATCACATTTTTATTGGGATGTCATTCACACACCATAAAATTTACCCTTTTAAAGTGTACGATTCAGTGATTCTTGGTATAGTCACAGAGTTGTATAATTATTTATCTAATTTTATAACATTTTCATCACCTCCAAAGAAACCCCATACCCGTAAGCATTGACTCCCTGTTCCCCCTGCCACCAGTCCCTGGCAACCGCTAATCTACTTTCTGACTCAATGGCTTTGCCTGTTATTTCATATATTTCATATAAATGCCGTCACGTGATATGGGATATTTTATGACTGGTTTCTTTCACTTAGTATTATCTTTTCTAAGTTCATCCATGTTGTAGTATCTATTACTTCATTCCTTTTTATAGCTGAATAATATTCCATTGCATGGATATCCTACATTTTGTTTATCTGTTCATTGGTTGATGGATATTTGTGTTATTTCCACTTTTTGGCTCCTACAAATAATGCTGCCATGAACATTTATGTACAAATATTTGTGTAAACACATGTCTTCATTTCTTGTGGATATATATCTAGAAGTGGAATTGCTCTGTTATAATATTGGGTTAATTCTTTGTTTAACTTGGTGAGTGGCTGCACCATTTCACAATTTGACTAGCAACATATCAGGGGTATAATTTCTGCACATGCTTATCAATACTTGTTATTATCTGTCTTAGTTACTTTAGTCATTCCAATGGGTGTTAAATGCTATCTCATCATGATATTGATTTGGAGTACTACAGTATTAGCTCTTAGATTTAGGTCTTTGATCCACTTTTAGTTAATTTTTATATATATTGTGAGGTAGGGGTCGAAGTTTTGTTTTTTTCTTTTTTGCATGTGGCTATCCAGTGCCCAACACCATTTGTTAAAAAGACTATTCTTTGCCCATTGAATTGTTTTGGCATCCTTGCCAATAATTAATTGGCTACAGATGTATGAGTTTACCTCTGAACTCAATTCCATTTCATTGATCTGTATGTCTATCCTTGTGCCAACACCACACTGTCTTGATTACTGTTGCTTTGCAGTAAGTTTTGAAATCAGTAATTATGAGTACTCCCACTTTGTTTTTGTCTTTCAAGATTATTTTGGCCATTCTGGGTCCCTTGCAATTTCGTATGAATTTTAGAATCAGTTTGTCAATTTCTACAAGCAAGTCAGTTTGTATTCTAACAGGGACTGTATTTAATCTGTAGATCAATTTGGTGAGTATTTCCATCTTAACAATATCAAGTCTTCTGAGTGTGGAATGTCTTTCCATTTATTTAGGTCTTCTTTAACTTTTTCACCAATATTTTTAACTTTAAGTTTGGTATACAAGTCTTGCACTTCTTTTGCTAAATTCATTCCTAATTATTTTGTAGTGCTTATGCTACTGTAAATGGAATTGTTAATTTCATTTGTGGATTGTTTATTGATAATGTATAGAAACATAATTATTTTTGTATATTTATCTTATATTCTGCAACCATATTGAACCCATTCTTATAGTTTGTGTGTGTGTCTGTGAAGTCCTTAGTATCTTCTATACATGAGATCATGTCATCTGCAAATAGAGATAATTTTACTTCTTCTTTTCCAATCTGGATGTCTTTTATTTTTTTACTTGCCTAATTGCCCTGGTTAGAACCTCCATTATAATGTTAAATAGAAATAGTGAGAGTGAATATTCTTGTCTTATTCTGAATTTTTTAGGAAACGCAATCAGTTTTTCACCAGTATGTTAACTGTGGGTGTTTTTATAGATGACCTTTATGAAGCTGAGAAAAATACTGTCTATTCTTATTTTGAGTGATTATATCTTGAAAGGGAGTTGGATTTTGTCAAACACTTTTTCTGCATCTATTGAAATGATCAGGTGGATTTTGTTCCTTATTCTATTAATATGATACATCATACAGGTTGATATTTCAGATGTTAAAATAACTTTACATTCCTGGAATAAATCCCACTTGGTAATGCAGTATAATCATTTTTATATATTGCTTGATTCATTTCACCAATGTTTTGTTGAGGATTTTGTGTCTATATTCATAAGGACCATAATTTTCTTTTCTTGTGATTTTTATCTGGTTTTGGTATTAGGGTGATATTGGCCTCATAGAATTGATTGGGAAGTTTTTCTTCCTCTTTTATCTCTTGGAAGGAGTTTAATATAGGTGCTAATAGACATAAATATTTAATATAGGTGCTAATAGGCATAAATTTCTCTCAGCAGTGCTTTATCAGCACCCTGAAAGTTTTGGTATGTTGTGTTTTCATTTTCATTTATCTCAAAGTATTTTCTAATCAAAAATTGGTATTAATTCTTCTTTAAATGTTAAGAAGAATTCACCTATAAAACCATCTGGACCTGTGCTTTTCTTTGTTTGAAGTCTTTTGTTGTTGTTCTTTGTTTTGTTTCGTTTCGTTTTTACCAATTCAATCTCTTTACTTGTAATAGATCTGTTCAGATTTTTCTATTTTTTCTTGAGCAAATTTTAGTAGTTTGTGTCTGTCTAGGAATTTTTTCATTTCATCTACATTATCTAATTTATTGACAAACAGTCATTCATAGTACTACCATTTCTTTAGTAATGTAATACTAGTGCAATAGTAATCCATTTCTTTAATGTCTGTAGTGATGTCCCTATTTCATTTCTGATTTTAACAATTTGAGTCTTCTTTCTTATTTCTTGGCCTGTTTACCTAATTTTTTTTCAATAATTTTTTGATATTTTAAAAGAACTAACTTTCAGTTTTATTAAATTTCTCTATCATTTTTATAGTCACTATTTCATTTATTTCTACTCTAATCTTTATTGTTTCCTCCCTTCTGATTGATTTGGGCCTACTTTGCTCTTTTACTAGTTTTGTAAGGTGGAAGCTTAGGTCATTGGTTTGAGATCTATGTTCCTTTTTAATATAGGTGCTAATAGGCATAAATTTCTCTCAGCACTGCTTTATCTGCATTCTGTAAGTCTTGCTATGTTGTGTTTTCATTTTCATTTATCTCAAAGTATTTTCTAATTTACTTTGTGATTTTTTCTTTGATCCATTGGTCATTTAGGAAAGTGTTGTTTAATTTTCACATATTTGTGACTTTCTCACTTTTTCTTCTGTTACTGATTTCTAGTTTCATTCTATTGTGGTCAAAGAGCATATCTTGCATTATTTCAATCCTTTTTAATTTGTTGAGGCTTGTTTTATGGCCTAATATATGGCCTATCCTGGAGAATGTTCCATGTGTACTTGAGAAGAATTACAGTCTGCTATTATTGGGTGAAATGTTCTATATATGTCTGCTTTGTAATGTTGTTCAAGTCTTCTATTTCCTTGTTGATCTTCTGCCTAGTCATTCTATTCATTATTATTAAAAGTGGAATAGAGACGTCTCCAACTTTTATTGTTAAATTTTCTATGTTTTCTTTCAATCTTATCAGGTTTTGCTTCATATATTTTGAGGCTTTGTTAAGTGCACATATATTTATAATTATGATGTCTTTCTAATTGACACTTTCATAATTATAAAATGTCCTTCTCTGTCTCTAGGAACAATTTTTGTCTTAAAGTCTACTTGTCTTATTAATGTAGTCTCTTTATCTCTCATTTGGTTAGTCTTTGTATGGTATATCTATTTTCATCCTTTTACTTTTAACCCTTTTGTATCTTGGAATCTAATTTGTGTCTTTTATAGATAGTATATAGTTGGATCATGGTTTTTGTTTTTGTTTTGTTTTGTTTACCATTTTTCCAGTCTCAGCCTTTTGATTGAAATGTTTAGTCCATTTACATTTAATGTATCTGCTGATTAGGTTGGATTTATAGTCAACATTTGTTATTTGTTTTCTATACATCATGGGTTTTTGTCATCGTTTCTCTATCTTTCAATTATTGTCTTCATTTGTGTACATGAGATATTTTCTAGTGTGCTATTTTAATTCTCTGTTTCTTTACCATATTTTAAAGTTATTTTCTTAGTGGTTTCTGTGTGGGTTACAATTAACACCTTAACTTAAAATAATTTAATTTGGCTAGATGTAGTGGCTCATGCCTATAATCCCAGCACTTTGGGAGGCTGAGGCAAGAGGATTGCTTGAGCCCAGGAGTTCGAGACTGAGTTCCAGCCTGGGCGACATAGTGAGACCCATTATATGCAAAAAATTAAAAAAATAACTGGGCCTGGTTGTGCATACCTGTAGTCCCAGCTACTTGGATGGTTGAGACAGGAAGATCACCTAAGTCCAGAAATTCAAAGTTGCAGTGAGCTATGATTGTGCCATTGCACTCTAACATGGGCAACAGAGACCCTGTTTCTTTTTTAAAAATTAGTTTAGATTAATATCAACTTAATTTTAATAATATGCAAAAACTTTGTTCCAATATTCCAATATAACTCTGTTCTCTCCTTCTTTGTTAATTGTCATACAAATTAGGTCTTTATATGTTATAAGCTCATCAACAGTTTTAGAATTATTGCTTTGTGCAGGTGTGTTTTAAGTCAGATAGGAAAAGAAATCTTTAAAAACAAGTACTTATAAATTATATATTTACCTATGTAATTATCTTTACCTATACTTTGTATTTCTTAGTGTAGATTCAAGATACTATCTAGTATCCTTTCATTTCAGCCTGAAGGACTCCCATTAATACTTCTTGTAGGACAAATCTGTTACTAACAAATTCAGTTTTTGTTTATCTGAGAATATAATATCTGCTTTTGTTTTCAAAGTATGGTTTTACTGGAATGTTTTGGTTAACCTTCTTTTTCTTTCAGTATCTTGAATATGTCATCCCACTGACTCCAGCCTTCTTGATTTCTGACAAGGTTTCAGCTCTTAATCTTTTTGAGGATCTCTTGTATGAGATATCAGCTCTTAATCTTTTTGAGGATCTCTTGTATGAGATATCAGCTCTTAATCTTTTGAGTAATTTTTCTTGCTACTTTCAGTATTCTCTTTTTGTGTTTGGCTTTTTAGCATTTAACTGTGATGTATCTAAGTGTAGAACTCTTAGAGTTTATTTATTCTACTTGGAATTTATTCAGCTTCTTGAACATACATATTAATGTTTTTTTCATCAAATTTGGGAAGTTTTAGGCCATTATTTCTTCAAATATTCTTTTTGTCTCTCTCTCTCCTCTCCTTCTGAGACTCCCATTATGGATATGATAGTATGTTTGATGGTGCCCCATTGATCTCTGAGGTTATGCTCATTTGTTTAAAATTATTTTTCTTTCTGTTCCTTACACAAGATAATCTCGATCGACTTACCTTCAAGTTTGCTTGTCCTTTCTTCTAGCAGTTCAAATCTGCTGTTGAGATCATCAGGGAAAATTTTCAGTTCAGTTATTATACTTTCCAACTCCAGTATTTCTACTTGGTTCTTTTTAAATACATAATCTTTATTTCTTTTAATGATATTTTCTATTTGGTGAGACTTTGTTCTCATACTTAAATTCTTTGGACAGGTTGTTTTTTAGTTCTTTGAATTTGTTTTGTAGCTAAAGTCTTTTGTCTAGTAAGCACAACATCTTGGTGTTTTTCTTTTTCTTTCTTTTTTTTGGAGACAGAGTTTTACTCTGTCACCTGGGCTAGAGTATAGTGACATCATCAAGCTCAGTACAACTTCAAACTATTGGGCTGAAGTGATCCTCATGCCTCAGCCTCCCAAGTAGCTGGGACTACAGGCCTGCACCACCACACCCAGCTAATTTTTTCATTATTTTGTAGAGAGGGGTCTGGCTCTTGCTCAGGCTGGTCTTGAACACTTGACCTCTAGAGATCCTCCCATGTTGGTATCCCAGAGTGCTAGGATTACAGGCATGAGCCACAACACCTGGCCATCTTAGCTTTTTTAGGGACAATTTCTAATGACTGCTTCCCCACCTCCCCACCCCGAGTACGAGCCGTACTTTCCATTTCTTTGCATGTTTCATAATTTTTTGTTGAAAATGAAATAATTAATATAAAGTGGAAGCTCTGAAAATCAGATTCCCCCCTGCCCAGGGTTTGTTGTTGTTTTGTTGTTGTTGTTGCTGTTTATTTAGTGACTTTCCTGAACCAATTAGGAATGTCAATAAATAAGCTCGTGTGAAGTTATTGTGGTCTCTGCTCTGTTAGTTTAGTGGTTATCTAATGATTGAACAGAGATTTCCCCAAAGGACTTCAACTAATACCAATAAGTCTTCCATCCTTTGCTGAGGGGGGTCTGTGTGTGGTTGGGGAACACCTTCAGGGCTCTGACAATTTGTAACTGGCTGAGCCTTCATTTCCTGCTTGTGCAGAATTCCAAGGTCATCTAGAGATAAGAGGCCCTTCTCAGGTCTTTCCTGCACATGTGCACAGTCCTATACATGTGGGTGGCTTTCTAGATCCCCAGGAATCTGCCAGAGCTTGTGAAAACCCCCTTTGGATATCTCATTCACCAGATTTAAGTGTTTGGGCCAGCCTCTTGTTTGCCCTAGCAGGTATCACCACCTCAGGTAGCCGTGATGTTAAATAATTGCCTGTGATTGCTTTTGACAAATGATCTTCAAAGTGTCTCAATGAACAAGCCTCTAGTCAGGTCATAGAGACAATCTCTGTGACTGGGGTCTTTCCAGAGAGGTGCCAGAAAAGTCCAATCATGTCAGTTCTTTGGGGATGGAGCTTTTGGGGGAGCTCCACACCTGTTCTTCCCCATCCAGTGATTGGTAGATGACTGGTTTTCATGCTGGGATCGTGAGGCTGCTGGTTTTCAAGGCTATCACAGAACTGGGGACGGGAGCATGAAAATAGGACAAGTTAAAATGCCACAGAGCTCACTGTTCTTGCTGAAACCAAGCCATTTTTCTTGAATAAATATTCTTTGGATTGTTGTGAGCCTTTGATTAATTTCCAGAGTTCTGAAAATGTTGATTTTGACCATTTTTCCAGTGTCATCATTACTTTTGTGAAGGGGTAGATATTTGGAGGCTCTTACTCTGCCATTCTGAAAGTGCTTCCCTCCTGTGCAGGATTTTAACTGAGGCTAACATAGTCAGATCTTCCTTTTGTAAGACTCTGTCTGGCCACAGCATTTAGGAACAGAGCAAGGGGATAAACAGGCAGCAAAAAGACAGTTAAGAGAATGGTGCTGGGGAGAAGTGGTGGTTGCCAGACCCAGGGCTGCAAAAGAGTGGATCAGCCTAAGAGACTCAGATAAGGTACTTCTCAGAACTGAATTCTTTCCCCCATCCACTCAGTCAACCAGGAGCTGAAATAGGGCCCGCACTCCATCAGGAAAGCTGGTCCAGAGGGAGTGAGCCCAGACACGACGCAGGGAACAGCAGAGGCTGCTTCCTTACACAGGGAAGCCCACGGCAACTTTGCAAGACAGGAGATGCAGGATCCCTGATGGAGAGCAAAGTAGGCTTAGGAGGGGCAATGAAGGCCATCATGAAGGGACAAGGGCGTGGGTGTCCCCTGGCCTCTGCCTTGGGACAGCTGGGGGGCCGGCCAGAGCTTTGCCTTTTGGGGTCCTCCAGGAGCACAGACTCTGCTCTGTTCCAGCCTCATCCACCCATCTCAAGAGGCTGCCCCTGCTCGCACTGTGCTCCTGCAGGGCCCCGGAGGGGCCGGGGGCCCGGTGAAGTGGGCTGCTTTCTTCTCCCTGCCTTTCTCTCCCAAGCAATTCTCGGAACAAGCTTTTGTAAGTCCCATATGTTCCAGCCTTTGTTCAGATTTAATCCTCCCTATTTATCCCCCCTCCGGTACCTGTTTATTATGTTCTACTTCTCCTTGGAAGCTGGGGCTCGGCGGATCTGCCACATCTGATATTATCTGCGTTTGGGCAAACACAATCGTGCCCATGACTTGTCATCCGGCTCCTGTGTGAAAGGGCCAGAGAAAGAGAAGAATTAAAATCAGCACCGCCAAGAACCGCAAGCCCAGGGAGATTTAAAAATAAAAATGAAAGCTGCTTTGGGGCCCGTTCCGAGGCACTTGCAAAACCCTTCAGTGGAGACACAATGCCACCAGGTGCACCTACTCTTATGGTCCCTGTCCCTGGAAAACACGTGGCTGGAGATCTTGACTCCTGCCTTGATGAGGGGACCGTGACCCTTGCCAGAGCTGTGGGGCCAGTGACTCAGAGCTTCTCCTGTTCAGACTCAAGACGTTACAGCCTTGGGTCCCTAGCAGGGTGCCTGAGACCAGCGAGGAGCTGCCAGGCACGGTGAGACAGGCACAGGGGAGGTTAGGACACAGGCCTCCTGATTCCCCCTCAAGACCTCTTCCTCCCCTACACACTGCACCTGCGGGGGCTGCAGAATGGAAGCTGAGAACCACAGCGACATCTGAGGAGAAAGAAACCAAAGGAAGGCAGAGATTTTACTCCTTGCTGCTGCTACGAGGCAGATCTATGGAGATCAACAGACCTGACCACACTGTCTCTACTTTGGACTTCTGAGGACACCCCTGGACCTGGAGCCACCAGGGCCTGCCAGCCCCACCTTTGGGTCAAAGACAGACAGGAGTTGAGGGCAGACGTGATCTGGTTTTTCACTAGATTCTATGTCCAAGTTCTCCATAAACCACAGGTTGGGGCAAAAGCCTTAGAGCCAAGCCATGGTCAAATCCTGTCCCATGCAGGGGAGTGTGATCCACACGCCTTCTCCCCTGAATCACGCTCCTTCTCTCACCCCAACCCCAGTCCCCACCTTGGCCTTGGACAGAGTGAAATGGGACTTCAAACGGACGTAGGGCCAATTCCGTGACAAGACGTGTGTCAGTCCCATAAACCACTGTACTCCAGCTCCCTTAAGCCTCATGTCAACTCTCCAAGGTCGGTATGGACATCTCTGTGGTAGAGACAAGTTCACCCAGACTATGAGAGGTGACACACGTTGCCCGAGATCACGCAGCTAAGAACTGACTGTTCCAAATCTGAGACCTGGTCTGCTGGGTCCCGAGCCCCACCCCTCCCGCTAGCTGGTCCTCTGGTCGGTCCGTTGTACCCATCCAGGATAGACGAGCGCTGCGCCTCCACTGCCAGGGCTAGGGGTGGCGGCACACGGGTGCCACAGCACTCTGCCTCTATCCCTGCGGTCACTATCAATGGCTTGTTTTATAGCCGTGGCTGCGGCAGCAGCTTTAGGCGCCTTTGCCTTGCAGGATTGACATCAATCCTCATTCAAATCAAACTCCTTCTGAAACATGCTCCAGTGGAGTGGAATTTTCTGCTAAATAAGGTGTTATTAACCCAGCTCCCAGCTCCTTGGGCCCGGGCTGAGCTCAGCAGCGCCGGCGGCCGCTCCACGCTGATGAACCCACTTAAATACCGATTAATAGGCATTGCGGCACTGGCCCCGGCAGACCCCGTGACCCCGGCTCCTCCGGGCTCCTTGGCTGCGGCTGGAAACTCAGTCACATCTTCTCTGACTCTCATCGCAGCCCAGTCACTGCGGTGGATGCTTTATGGTCTGAGGAGGAGGAGAGAGAAGTGCGGGGTAAGAAGGGGGAAAATGTATTTCTTTTCTGCAGCTTCTTTCTTGGCAGGCTTCCGTTCCCAGCACTTCTCCGGATGGGAAGACAGAGGGCGAGCCCCATCGGGGAGGAAGGGAAGGAAGCAGCCCTGACCTCCACCGCCACCCCCAGCACCCCACACGGGTGATGGGGAGGCTCCCACAGTGACGGTGACATGAAGAGTCATCCGGACTTTAGGCCAGGACTGGATCCCCACAAAAGGCCCCATTCTAGCTCCAGTGCAGGGCGACACAGGCGTTGATGCCTCAAATCCAATCGTTTCGGCCACAGACAAGTTCAGTTTATGTAATTCTCAGAGTTTAAGCTTTTACAGCCGAAAGAGCCCTAGAGAGTCCCAGATCCAAGCTCATTTTACAGCTGAGGAAACTCAGAACCAGAGAGGGACAAGGTCATGCCCAAGGTCACACAGCTAGTAAGCAGCAAAGCCAAGCCTCATACCCAGATCTCGCAACTCCCTGAGCAATGCTCTTTCTGTTATTCTATTTCGCTGCCTTCCAAGAATACAAGAGCATCATGAGAGCCAGAAAGTAATAACCACGTGTGTGTGATTCCCCAGTCTGCATATTGCAATGGACACCAAATTGTTCTTAAGTGATATGTTACTAAATAAGATCAGAGAATATAAAAATGGATTTTGAACTATAATAAATACAAAATATAACTCACTTATTCATTTGTCTTTTAGACACATGCTTATGGGGCACCTGCCAGGCACCAGGCACTGTGCTGGGTGCAGATTCCACAGGGCTGAGTGCGTGGGAGCTGGTCCCTCCCCCCAGGAAGCTTATGGTCTAGTGGGCGGGAGTAGGAACAAAACAATCACACACACAAATGCAAATGGTGCTATGCAAACCGGTGCTATGAAGGAAAAGACCAGGGGTCCAGATTCTTTCTCATCCTTCAGGTCTCCCCTGGGATATCACCTCCTCAGAGAAGCCTCCCTTGACCCTCCAAACACAACTTTCCTTACTTGAATCATGTGGCATGAGTTCTGTTTCTTGCCAGGTGCTGGATGATACAGTCACATTCCCCAGACACAAGGCTCAATGGCCCAGCCGTGGTGCGTTGTCCTTAAGCCTGTCTGCTGTCTCCTAGATCCAAGATCCTCTACCAGGCCTTAGGCCTGAGTATCTATGAGATGGAGCCTCCCCTGCCCCATCTCTGGCACCTCTACCAGCACATCACCCTCAGGACTGGCCTTTGCTGCCCTGTCACTTCTCAGCCTTGTCCTTGTCCTAGTGAGAGGCTTTACCTGGTCCTTGTCCTGCACTCTGGCCTCTGCTCATGTTGTCAAGGCCAGAGCCAGCCTCACGTCCTCATGGCCTGGCCTCCACATTGGCCTTGTGGTGCCCTGTCCACACCCTCTGATGGCCCCACCCATGTGTCTCCAACCAGTGCCCCAGTGCATTGCAAAGAACCCATTCCCCGTGGCTGTCTTGGGTTTCTGCCCTTCCAAAGGGTTCTGGGACCAGAAGAACCTGAGGCCAGGGCTGCAACTGCCTGAGATCTTCAGCTCACGCTGGGACCCGCGTCCCTGCCCAACTCACCCACTCAGCAGTGAGTCTCTGAGCAGCTCCTAGGTGCCAGGCCCAGCCCTGCACAGCACACCGCCATCCTGAGCCCATCCAGGCCCTGCCCTCAGGAAGCTCACAGTCCAGGGGAGAAAGTCCTGTAACCCACATAGAGTGACAAGCTCCCTAAGGTGTAATGGGTGCAGGCCAGCGGGGACTAAATTTAGCCTGCAAAGTTCAGAGAAATCTTCCTGGGGAGGTGATTCTCTGCTGAATCTCAAAGACCTAGTGGACAAGAACAGCTTGGACAAGAGTAGGCACTGTGGGAGGCAGCAGACGAGAAGCTCCAGGAGTGGTTAGTAAGTGGAGACCCTGCAGGACCAGGGGACATGTCAACCCTTGAGGGCAGGGTAGGGGCTGATCGAAGTGGCTCCCAGGCTCCCACCTGGGCACTTAGGTGGGTGGGCAGGGGAGGGGCAGCCTCTGAGCCCAGAAACACAGAAAGAGGCACAGACGTAGGGGCAGAACATGGGGCAATGAGGATGAATTCAGTTTGGAAGAGCCTTGGAAATGTCCACCTGGAAATGCCCAGTGGCTGGAGGGACTTGGGACATGGAGAGAGTTGGGAGTCAAGACCCACTGTGAAAGTCAAGAGGGGGAGTAGGACACACTGCCTAGTGAGGAGGGAAGGCCGAGCCCAGAGCTGATGGATGCCAACATTTGAGGAAGAAGGTTCTGGAAAGAGTGAGACAGAGTGGTAAGAGAAGTGGGAGGAAACCCAGGACAGTGTGGGGTGTGGAAACCAGCTGAAGAATGTCTCAAGGAGGGGCGGTCAGCAGGGGAGGGTAACCCGGGCGAATAGCTCGTTCAGTGTCGAATCCTGGTGGGTCCCACAGCTGGGATTGGGTCCCGCCTCCTCCGCTTGCTCCGTAGATGACCCTGGACAGGGCAGGTGGCCTCTGAGCCTCGGTTCCCACTATGCAAACAGGAAACAACCTGTGCCTACCTCCTAGGGTGGGTCCTGGGAACCACGTGACCATGCCATAAAGCACCTAGCACACTGCGCAACACACTCAAAGTGATCAGTAAACCGTAGCTGCTCCTCTGAGTGTTAATTCGCTCAGCGAGCACTCGTGAGCACTTGCAAAATGATCCTTCCAGTGGAGATGCTGAACCAAGAGGGGGTCTGGTCACAGAGAGAAAATGACATCAATCACTGAATTCCAAGGGAGCAAGCGCCGAGTGGCATGAAGAGGAGCCCGAGGGCGGCTGCAAGCTCGCTAAGGAAGCAAGATCCCCGTTGCCGCCACGGCTGGTGTGGGGAGCTCCAGGCACAGAAGCTGGCCACGGAGGAGGGAGCACGAGCCAAGCCTGGGAGGCTCAGCCCAGACGAGGGAAGAGCCCGAGCAAGGGCCCAGCGGGAGGAACCTGCACCTTCGGGAGAGACTCCCAGGGCTCCCTGCTGCCCTCTGGTGCCAAGCTCAAGGGTGAGTGGCCCCGCGTCTGGGCAGCAAATCCACCACAGCCCAGCCCTGCACAGCACGTCACAAACACCGCGGCATGATCATTAGGTGATTATATTTTTAAGGCCCAAATTGTTTTATTTGTTTCCCTGCCAGCTTTCATGAGGCCATCAGTCATTCCCCACACAGATAACATTTCTTATGTACATTGACAGAATAAATTACATGGTTCTCATCCGGCAAATCAACATTACAGGGGAACATTATCTTTTGCAAAACGCTGCCTGGGCGCATCATAAATCCTAACCAGGTTTATTACATCTGTCTTGTCAGAGATTCATTTTATTGAGAAGTGGGGTTTTTTTCAAGATTAATAATCACATTAATAGATGAGATTCTTTTTAGAGGCCGACATTCTGCTCCGGCCACGCCGTCCCCTGCACCCCGCCCCCGCAGCCTGGCTGCACACCCCTGGGAGAAACCCTTGGCCTTGTCGCTTTTGTGCAGGCTGCACAGGCGTGCGACTCAGCCACTCTGCTCCCTTAGCCTAGAACACCCCTCTGTAAGCGGTTCACGCCTGGTCCCTCAGCTCCTTCAGGATTTTGCTCGAAAGTCTCATTCTCAGTGAGGTTTTCCTGATGTTTTATGCAAAATTGCAACCTCCACACCACACCTCCCCTCCCCAGCTCCCTTGCCTTCTTTCTGTCTTTATATTTCCCTCCATCTGGCTGATTTGTTTATTGTCTCTTGACAATCTCCCTCGCAAGAGAAGTAAGCTCCAAAGGGGCAGAGTTTTTGTCTGTTTTATTCATTGCTATATCTGTAGTACCTAGAGTAAGTCCTGGCACATAGTAGGCATTCAATATATAATTGTTGTATACAAGTTTAATGAATTTTAACACTGTTCTACCACTTGTAAGCTGTGGTTCTTTGGACAAGGTATTTAATTGCTCTAATACAAGGGAGTAACAATATTACTTTCCTCCATAGGTGCTGAATGACTGAAAAACAAAACAAAGCTGAAAAGAAAAACTGTAACATGCCTGACTCAGAGTCCAGCAGAGCTTCTCACTCAGAGATTCTGTGCTCCTTCCTTCTGAAGGACCATCGCCAAAGCCAAATATACCTGCGTCATGAGACCAAGACCACGACTGCATCTACCAGGCTCTGGTGCAGACTACAGTGAGGAAGTCAGCTGCATGACCTACTAACAATGTGACCTAGGAATGTTCCTTCATCTCCTTGCACCTCAGTTTGCTCATCTGTAAAATGGGCACTAAAAACAAACTTCATAGAGTTGTTTAAGGATGCTGAATGAGGGAAAGCTCAAAAAGAGGGTTGGCCCACACAGCTTGGTAAAAGTGAGTGATGATGAGGATGGTGATGACAATCCTGGAGGAGACTGCCTGGGAAGGAGGTGCTGGTCCAGACTTGGAATCCTCTGGACCTTGGCCTCTCAGCAGGAAGTAGGTTCTGGAAGAGTCAGGCCTGAGTAGATTAATGTGCAAAGTCTCTCTCTGTATTTTTTTTTTCTTTTTAACATGAAAATCTGTCCTAGCACCTGTCATTATCCACTTCATCAGTCTCAAACTGTCTGCTAATTGCACTCCCCTGCAACCCCTCCCTCCCTGCTCTTCAACAAGCTCAATAACACAGGCGGCCTCCCTCTCTGTGGCGCCCCTGGGGACTCACAAACAAAATGTAGCAAGAGCAAAACCCCAATGCCTCCTCTGGGCTCCCTTTCCCCTCTGACTTCCCTGGATCCTCTGCTACACCCCCTCCCCCAGGAGAGTGGCCGCAGGAGAGCCAAGGGTAAGACAGGGATAAGGGAAGCAGAGATGCAATAAGATTTCATGGTTTGCTCTGCCTCTTAGGTCTGCACGATTCTAACTCCTAACTGGTTGTGATCCTTGAGAAAGAGGAACACAGGGAGTGAGTCTGACATTTACCCGTCTCTCTGCC